GAAATATCATCAGGAATTTTGATAGACTCAAAGGAAGCATTTTGAGAACATACCTCATTTAATAATTTATTCAAGGTATCAACCTTCTCAATCCAGTCTAATCCTAATAGATCTAAATCGTGCCGATTTGTAAGATAACAGACATCGGTGAACTTATGTTCCATGAATTTAACGTTGCATGTGACTTCTCCTGTCAACTTCACTATATCTCCTGAAGCATTGCGAGCAACATGTTCTGTTGGTCGGATGCGTGGATATCCCAGATTACGCCATGTGTTTTTGGAAATCAGTGTAACATCAGAAGCAGTGTCCAATTGAAGACGTATGGGTTTTTCATTTACTAATAAGTTTACGTACTTCCGCTTACTTTGAAAACCAACTTTGAAGGCTGCGAACGTGCATTTAATTTGACTCTGTGGTGGTTGCTTCGCATTTCCACTACGACATTTAGACTTACGTTTATTCGATGAGCAGTGACCTTCTTTATGACCAATGCGATGACATTTGCGGCATTTGTGATTCTTGAACGGACATAGTTTCGCAAAATGCCATGCTCCGCAGAACCAACATGGTGATGGGGGTTTGACAGAAGGTAGTTGTGTGGTTGTAGTGTTCTGTTTGGACAATTTCGAGGATCTGAGAGCATTAATTGAACCAAAATCGGAAGGTTTAGCCTTCTGTTGCACCATCGCGGTATCATGCTTGAGATTTACCAACCTCTGACACTCGGTTGTGACCATTTGTAGTGTCATATTCGGTTCCTGTTCAATGCGTGCTAACATCCTGGTACGGACATCTGCATCTTCTGCATTCTTTAAACCACATATAAAAATCAAGCATTTGAATTGGTCAGCTGAAATCTCGTTTATTTTGAACAGTTCGCATTCTCGATTTACTTTACCAGCATATGTGAGATAATCATCATCTGGGGATTTCGATATTTGGAAACATCGATAGCGAGTATTAAATAATGAAGATTGTTCGCCGAAAATGTCAGATAAAATTTGGACTGTCTCTTTGAAAGATAAATCTCGTGGATTTCGTGGCAGGATGAAATTCACATATTTGTTGTAATCACGTGTTCCGAGTCTTCTCAGGAGTAGGCGAACTTTAGCTGCGTCATCAAGATTTGAGCATTCCACACGGAATATGTCTTCGCAACGATGAAACCAGGAATTGAAAATGATACCAGATTCAGGATCATAATGGAATTCACAAATAGAATTCGTGATTCATTCATACTTATCTGATTGATAAGTTGTGGATGAATGTAATGACAGCTTCTGCATCAGTGCATCTAAAAGCTTCATTTGATTTGCATCATTTTGCGCTTGCTGAATTTGTAGAATAGTTTTAAGGTCGTCCAAGGATACAGACATTTTGTTTTGGATCAATCAATATAAAAAAAATCTCCGTCGCCACTTTGTTATGACCTTGATTTGTCTACCCACTTTTTGGTGCCGAGGCTACTTGTCTAATCTAGATTTCGACCTTGATGCGATAGGCTGATCAGCTTAACCTTGAGACTAGTACGCGTGAGTTCGAGATGGGGTAGAGAGAAGAAAACTATTCTGTCACCTGATTGGTGGGCAAGCACACGAATGAGAGAAGACAAGACAACTGGAACACTACTCGATCTATTTCCCTGACCACTGAACTCACTGGATTTACTGAATTCAGATTAGTGTAAAAAGGTACATGAATAAATAAGTGAATAACCCGACCGCAACGTACAATAATTAGGAAAAATACAATTGTGTCCAAAGCTGGGAATTAGAGTAGAAAATAGGGTGCAAAATAATATGTTTAAATTACAATAGCTTCGGAACAGAAAAAGGTATGGCAGTGAATGATACATCGAACGAAAGTTTATGTTCTGTAGAATAGATTAGGGACAAAAATAAATGTCAGTGTTTTACAAGCTTTGAATAAAATGAAATAACGTTCCGAAAAATAGCCTTCGTAGTTTGTCAGGGCTTCTTGTTTCCCGGTTCACATCATCTTCCCCCTTGACAAAAAAAATGTTATAACTGCCATCCAACTGAGTGCATAAGTGAAAACGGTTTACGTTGCGATCCGTGTAAGCGTGACTAATTTGACCAACTGGAATAAATAAAAAAAAAGAAAAATGATTAGTCACTATTTACAAGTAATAGTTAAGATATCATCATTGATATCTCCCCTCAGAAACGTATGCTCTTTTCTTTGGGTCCACTTATAGAACATCTGGTCTTCTGCGTTTTCGTAACGATCTCCTAATAGGATCTTGTTCCGGATGCACAGTTTTGTGAGTCGTTGAACTTTTAATATCGAAACTGTCCAAGAAGATTTGCCACATTGAACTTAGTTTCTCGGTTTTCTGTGCAGTACCAGAATTTTCCAGTACGTGGTTAACATGACGTGTCCACTTTTGACCTTCAACTTCCACCACATACATTACATTTCCCCGTCTCTTTAGTATGAGTCCACTGGTCCATTGTGGAGGTGAGTATCTGAAATCACGGACGTATACTGTTTGGTTGTTTCGGAAGATTCTATTTTTCGCCCCATGATGGCGATTAAATTGGATTACCATCTTTCGGTTTCTCGTTCCTATGAGATTTCGCTCTGGTTTTGTTGCATCGAGAGCAGTTTTAACTTTTCTGCCAAACATAATTTCTGCTGGAGACATTTGATTTGGTGCTGACGGGTTTGGAGTTGTTCTGTAGACAAATAGAAAATCATTAAGAATTTCCTTTATCTTCCCCTCCCCTTTTGCCTTCAGTAGCGCTCTCTTGAAGGTATCCACAAACCTTTCGGCTTGACCATTCGATTGTGGATGATATGGAGGTGAACGAACATGATTGACTCCAAATCTCTTGCAGAAATCTGAGAAGATGGACGAAGTAAACTGAGTGCCCTTATCCGACACAAGGATATTTGGGACTCCAAAACGGGAGAATAACTGCCGTAATTCCATAATAGTGTCTTGCGAAGTGACCTGGTTCATAGGGATAATCTCCGGCCATTTTGAGTAAGCATCGACACAAATGAGGAAATATGTACCCTGAAATGGGCCAGCAAAATTAATTTGTACACACGACCAAGGTTTCTTTGGAGATATCTTCGGCATTTGAAAAGGAACAGAAGACTTTGGTGTGGACATAACATTGGCACAAATTACATGAGGTTCTGAAGTTTTACGCGAGCATACTTTATCTGAGGCATTTGATTGGGAATCATTGTGAGGACATGTTTCATCGGAGGAATTCGATTTAACATCATCAAGAGAACACATTAGAAGCATTTGATTCAGAAAGATTATGAGAACATGTTTCATCAGAAGCATTTAATTCATGAATATCAAAAGAACATGATACATCGGAGGCATTTGATTTAGAAATATCATCAGGAATTTTGATAGACTCAAAGGAAGCATTTTGAGAACATACCTCATTTAATAATTTATTCAAGGTATCAACCTTCTCAATCCAGTCTAATCCTAATAGATCTAAATCGTGCCGATTTGTAAGATAACAGACATCGGTGAACTTATGTTCCATGAATTTAACGTTGCATGTGACTTCTCCTGTCAACTTCACTATATCTCCTGAAGCATTGCGAGCAACATGTTCTGTTGGTCGGATGCGTGGATATCCCAGATTACGCCATGTGTTTTTGGAAATCAGTGTAACATCAGAAGCAGTGTCCAATTGAAGACGTATGGGTTTTTCATTTACTAATAAGTTTACGTACTTCCGCTTACTTTGAAAACCAACTTTGAAGGCTGCGAACGTGCTTTTAATTTGACTCTGTGGTGGTTGCTTCGCATTTCCACTACGACATTTAGACTTACGTTTATTCGATGAGCAGTGACCTTCTTTATGACCAATGCGATGACATTTGCGGCATTTGTGATTCTTGAACGGACATAGTTTCGCAAAATGCCATGCTCCGCAGAACCAACATGGTGATGGGGGTTTGACAGAAGGTAGTTGTGTGGTTGTAGTGTTCTGTTTGGACAATTTCGAGGATCTGAGAGCATTAATTGAACCAAAATCGGAAGGTTTAGCCTTCTGTTGCACCATCGCGGTATCATGCTTGAGATTTACCAACCTCTGACACTCGGTTGTGACCATTTGTAGTGTCATATTCGGTTCCTGTTCAATGCGTGCTAACATCCTGGTACGGACATCTGCATCTTCTGCATTCTTTAAACCACATATAAAAATCAAGCATTTGAATTGGTCAGCTGAAATCTCGTTTATTTTGAACAGTTCGCATTCTCGATTTACTTTACCAGCATATGTGAGATAATCATCATCTGGGGATTTCGATATTTGGAAACATCGATAGCGAGTATTAAATAATGAAGATTGTTCGCCGAAAATGTCAGATAAAATTTGGACTGTCTCTTTGAAAGATACATCTCGTGGATTTCGTGGCAGGATGAAATTCACATATTTGTTGTAATCACGTGTTCCGAGTCTTCTCAGGAGTAGGCGAACTTTAGCTGCGTCATCAAGATTTGAGCATTCCACACGGAATATGTCTTCGCAACGATGAAACCAGGAATTGAAAATGATACCAGATTCAGGATCATAATGGAATTCACAAATAGAATTCGTGATGCATTCATACTTATCTGATTGATAAGTTGTGGATGAATGTAATGACAGCTTCTGCATCAGTGCATCTAAAAGCTTCATTTGATTTGCATCATTTTGCGCTTGCTGAATTTGTAGAATAGTTTTAAGGTCGTCCAAGGATACAGACATTTTGTTTTGGATCAATCAATATAAAAAAAATCTCCGTCGCCACTTTGTTATGACCTTGATTTGTCTACCCACTTTTTGGTGCCGAGGCTACTTGTCTAATCTAGATTTCGACCTTGATGCGATAGGCTGATCAGCTTAACCTTGAGACTAGTACGCGTGAGTTCGAGATGGGGTAGAGAGAAGAAAACTATTCTGTCACCTGATTGGTGGGCAAGCACACGAATGAGAGAAGACAAGACAACTGGAACACTACTCGATCTATTTCCCTGACCACTGAACTCACTGGATTTACTGAATTCAGATTAGTGTAAAAAGGTACATGAATAAATAAGTGAATAACCCGACCGCAACGTACAATAATTAGGAAAAATACAATTGTGTCCAAAGCTGGGGATTAGAGTAGAAAATAGGGTGCAAAATAATATGTTTAAATTACAATAGCTTCGGAACAGAAAAAGGTATGGCAGTGAATGATACATCGAACGAAAGTTTATGTTCTGTAGAATAGATTAGGGACAAAAATAAATGTCAGTGTTTTACAAGCTTTGAATAAAATGAAATAACGTTCCGAAAAATAGCCTTCGTAGTTTGTCAGGGCTTCTTGTTTCCCGGTTCACATCATCTTCCCCCTTGACAAAAAAATGTTATAACTGCCATCCAACTGAGTGCATAAGTGAAAACGGTTTACGTTGCGATCCGTGTAAGCGTGACTAATTTGACCAACTGGAATAAATAAAAAAAAAGAAAAATGATTAGTCACTATTTACAAGTAATAGTTAAGATATCATCATTGATATCTCCCCTCAGAAACGTATGCTCTTTTCTTTGGGTCCACTTATAGAACATCTGGTCTTCTGCGTTTTCGTAACGATCTCCTAATAGGATCTTGTTCCGGATGCACAGTTTTGTGAGTCGTTGAACTTTTAATATCGAAACTGTCCAAGAAGATTTGCCACATTGAACTTAGTTTCTCGGTTTTCTGTGCAGTACCAGAATTTTCCAGTACGTGGTTAACATGACGTGTCCACTTTTGACCTTCAACTTCCACCACATACATTACATTTCCCCGTCTCTTTAGTATGAGTCCACTGGTCCATTGTGGAGGTGAGTATCTGAAATCACGGACGTATACTGTTTGGTTGTTTCGGAAGATTCTATTTTTCGCCCCATGATGGCGATTAAATTGGATTACCATCTTTCGGTTTCTCGTTCCTATGAGATTTCGCTCTGGTTTTGTTGCATCGAGAGCAGTTTTAACTTTTCTGCCAAACATAATTTCTGCTGGAGACATTTGATTTGGTGCTGACGGGTTTGGAGTTGTTCTGTAGACAAATAGAAAATCATTAAGAATTTCCTTTATCTTCCCCTCCCCTTTTGCCTTCAGTAGCGCTCTCTTGAAGGTATCCACAAACCTTTCGGCTTGACCATTCGATTGTGGATGATATGGAGGTGAACGAACATGATTGACTCCAAATCTCTTGCAGAAATCTGAGAAGATGGACGAAGTAAACTGAGTGCCCTTATCCGACACAAGGATATTTGGGACTCCAAAACGGGAGAATAACTGCCGTAATTCCATAATAGTGTCTTGCGAAGTGACCTGGTTCATAGGGATAATCTCCGGCCATTTTGAGTAAGCATCGACACAAATGAGGAAATATGTACCCTGAAATGGGCCAGCAAAATTAATTTGTACACACGACCAAGGTTTCTTTGGAGATATCTTCGGCATTTGAAAAGGAACAGAAGACTTTGGTGTGGACATAACATTGACACAAATTACATGAGGTTCTGAAGTTTTACGCGAGCATACTTTATCTGAGGCATTTGATTGGGAATCATTGTGAGGACATGTTTCATCGGAGGAATTCGATTTAACATCATCAAGAGAACACATTAGAAGCATTTGATTCAGAAAGATTATGAGAACATGTTTCATCAGAAGCATTTAATTCATGAATATCAAAAGAACATGATACATCGGAGGCATTTGATTTAGAAATATCATCAGGAATTTTGATAGACTCAAAGGAAGCATTTTGAGAACATACCTCATTTAATAATTTATTCAAGGTATCAACCTTCTCAATCCAGTCTAATCCTAATAGATCTAAATCGTGCCGATTTGTAAGATAACAGACATCGGTGAACTTATGTTCCATGAATTTAACGTTGCATGTGACTTCTCCTGTCAACTTCACTATATCTCCTGAAGCATTGCGAGCAACATGTTCTGTTGGTCGGATGCGTGGATATCCCAGATTACGCCATGTGTTTTTGGAAATCAGTGTAACATCAGAAGCAGTGTCCAATTGAAGACGTATGGGTTTTTCATTTACTAATAAGTTTACGTACTTCCGCTTACTTTGAAAACCAACTTTGAAGGCTGCGAACGTGCTTTTAATTTGACTCTGTGGTGGTTGCTTCGCATTTCCACTACGACATTTAGACTTACGTTTATTCGATGAGCAGTGACCTTCTTTATGACCAATGCGATGACATTTGCGGCATTTGTGATTCTTGAACGGACATAGTTTCGCAAAATGCCATGCTCCGCAGAACCAACATGGTGATGGGGGTTTGACAGAAGGTAGTTGTGTGGTTGTAGTGTTCTGTTTGGACAATTTCGAGGATCTGAGAGCATTAATTGAACCAAAATCGGAAGGTTTAGCCTTCTGTTGCACCATCGCGGTATCATGCTTGAGATTTACCAACCTCTGACACTCGGTTGTGACCATTTGTAGTGTCATATTCGGTTCCTGTTCAATGCGTGCTAACATCCTGGTACGGACATCTGCATCTTCTGCATTCTTTAAACCACATATAAAAATCAAGCATTTGAATTGGTCAGCTGAAATCTCGTTTATTTTGAACAGTTCGCATTCTCGATTTACTTTACCAGCATATGTGAGATAATCATCATCTGGGGATTTCGATATTTGGAAACATCGATAGCGAGTATTAAATAATGAAGATTGTTCGCCGAAAATGTCAGATAAAATTTGGACTGTCTCTTTGAAAGATACATCTCGTGGATTTCGTGGCAGGATGAAATTCACATATTTGTTGTAATCACGTGTTCCGAGTCTTCTCAGGAGTAGGCGAACTTTAGCTGCGTCATCAAGATTTGAGCATTCCACACGGAATATGTCTTCGCAACGATGAAACCAGGAATTGAAAATGATACCAGATTCAGGATCATAATGGAATTCACAAATAGAATTCGTGATGCATTCATACTTATCTGATTGATAAGTTGTGGATGAATGTAATGACAGCTTCTGCATCAGTGCATCTAAAAGCTTCATTTGATTTGCATCATTTTGCGCTTGCTGAATTTGTAGAATAGTTTTAAGGTCGTCCAAGGATACAGACATTTTGTTTTGGATCAATCAATATAAAAAAAATCTCCGTCGCCACTTTGTTATGACCTTGATTTGTCTACCCACTTTTTGGTGCCGAGGCTACTTGTCTAATCTAGATTTCGACCTTGATGCGATAGGCTGATCAGCTTAACCTTGAGACTAGTACGCGTGAGTTCGAGATGGGGTAGAGAGAAGAAAACTATTCTGTCACCTGATTGGTGGGCAAGCACACGAATGAGAGAAGACAAGACAACTGGAACACTACTCGATCTATTTCCCTGACCACTGAACTCACTGGATTTACTGAATTCAGATTAGTGTAAAAAGGTACATGAATAAATAAGTGAATAACCCGACCGCAACGTACAATAATTAGGAAAAATACAATTGTGTCCAAAGCTGGGGATTAGAGTAGAAAATAGGGTGCAAAATAATATGTTTAAATTACAATAGCTTCGGAACAGAAAAAGGTATGGCAGTGAATGATACATCGAACGAAAGTTTATGTTCTGTAGAATAGATTAGGGACAAAAATAAATGTCAGTGTTTTACAAGCTTTGAATAAAATGAAATAACGTTCCGAAAAATAGCCTTCGTAGTTTGTCAGGGCTTCTTGTTTCCCGGTTCACATCAACACTACACTAGACCACCATGGAAAACCTGGAAGCACTGGAAGGCCGTTTCGTCCTAGTATGGGACTCCTCAGTAGTGCGCATCCACGATCCCGCCCCCCCCCTCGAGATTCCATGGTGGTCTAGGTTCAATTGACTCATAATTTCGACTCGTGATTTTGTTGTTGAATTGAAAATATGTTGTTAGGCATAAATCGATGATTTCTAGTAGACTTTGAATTTGAAGCTTCGTGTACTTTGTGAGATTTTTGTCGTTGTCGAGGGGCAGGGATATAGTTTTTTTTGCTAACCTTGGCTCAATTGACGTGAATAACGCTGTTACATCAAAGGATATCATCAGCTTGTCGTTGTTGATTTGAATGTCGTTAATTTGGTCCAGGAATTGTGTAGGGGATTTGATAGAGTGGTTGGATGAATCTACTAAATGTTTCAGTATTCTTGAAGTTTCTTTTGACAAATTATATGTTGGTGTTCCGGGCAGTGCTTTAATTGGACGTAGTGGAATGTTTGGTTTGTGTATTTTTGGTCTGCCGTAGAATCGAGGGAGTATTGGTCCATCGGACTTCATTATCCATAATATATTTGTCTGATGACCCAACACCCCTCTAGTTCCTTATAGACTACAAATGGTAAGATTACATGTGAATACGATTGTACAGCTTAAGAAAATGACATTGTCGAAAATAACATTTTCTTCAGTGAAATGTTGACATTATTTTTAATGTTTAACTGTAGACAAAAAGACATGACACTTATAACCCTTTTAGAAAAATATTAATTCTGATTAGTTATTTATTAGATTTGTTCGTTTCCAGACAAACAAATAACTGCGATAAGCATAAACTTAAGTCTATTTTGAATGAACGTGTCAATTTTGTCTGATTTATTTACATGTACAGTGTATTCTCCATGGCGATTCTATACTATACCATTTTGGGATTATACATTTCTCTGTGACACAGTCAGGAAATAAGCTGTGTTAAATGTCTACCATTTTTATCTCATTTACATGTCTAGTCACTCATTTGACATTTCAGTCATAATCGACTGTATTCTTGACGGGGTAGATAAAAAATGACTAAACAAAACTGAAAAATTTAGTCCAGTGTCTACACGATAGATGATAATGAAAGTGACTGTTTATTTGTGTAAGTAATTATTTCTCAGTATCATGCCATCCAACCATATTTATTGTAGAACAATAATGTGATTATTAATTCATTCGGAGTACAACAACAGTTATCAGTAAATCGGCAAAAGGTTTTTTGTTGTGCAGTAATAAAATTACACCAAGTCATTAATTTTAACAGATTTTATATTGTAATCATATGCCAATATAACCTTCGATACTACGTGATAATAGTTGTGAAGATTGTATTGGAAATAATCTCTTGTTAAAATACATTCAATCGTTACTTTTGTGTAGAGAAAGACTTTGAAACGAGACGGACTACCCAAACTCTTTGAACATGCTAACAATGTACATAGCTCCAATTCATTTTAAGTGACATTACAACACAATATCCTACTATTTACTAACACTTCATGTGTTTAAATGATCAATTTCATTATATGTACTACTATTCTGACAATGAGGAAAACCATTATTATATCGACATCCAATTTATTCGTTAAATTCCTAACTTCAGTAATATACCGATATACACATTTTACATTTTCGAATTATTATTTCGGGATTCCAAATCAAATGACTTTAATTCTTACTATACACAGAATTATTTGTTGAACATATTTGGACAAGCCATCGACATTAACTTGTTTTAAACCTTATTCGTTTTTGACACTAAACTTGTTCATTATTGGAAAATTAGTCCACTGACATTCCGTCTATTCGTAGATAGAATTTAAATACCATTCATTAATAATTAAAGTTTGGTTATGTAAAGAAATTAATTTTCGGGAATAGTTGAAATGGTAGACAACTTTCTATGAGACTACGATTCCAACGGTCCAATGACAATTAGCCATTCTCTATGGCAATAACCAATCACATTTCAATCAAAAAGAGTAGTTAAGAATTAAACAACGGCTACATCACATAGAAAAAAAATGTGGTGAGTAATTTCTCAGAAAACAAAGAGTGTACAAATCTATGAATTTTGTTCTCCACCATCTCGCTCCGTATGAAACTTGTCAGCCAGATTGTTACAGGCAACGAAATGAGACTTAGTTTCGATAAAAAGCATAAATCAGTTATTAACAACACGTACTACACTACAATGAAACAACAAGGTTCATGCTTCAAAAACCTAAGAGACATGGAAACGATTGCGTCACATACCACTGTGTTTACTTGTTTAAATGTGAATGGCCATACATGCATAGGGAGGGGTAATCGTGATTTACAAATAGGGGTATTTGAACATGTAATTAAATGGTTGCAAAAACAAATGAATTCAAGTGATCCAATAAGAAGAGATGATAAACATCTATCGTCATCTGTTGCCAAATATGTAGTTGAAACAGGTCCTAAAATTGATCTTAACACTGCGTTTGTGGTGCTGTGAAAAGTGTAAAGGGACGTATGGTAAGGTTTATTAAAGCCTAGGCCAAACGAAAATTCAAACGCTCTCTATGTATTTAAAAATGGCTTGTTTTCATCTTAAACCTACCCTGGTAATATTAGTTTATTATCCAGCGTGATAAGGTTTTAAATTGTTTTTATATTATTTTCTTTATTACCCACCGTTTCTAGTCTAGTTGGCCTTTTATTTCTATATATAAGTGTTGTTAACGAGTAAATGTGTGATCGGATTGTTTGAGATGCATTGAGCTAATATATCACATAGTTCTGATAATCTTCGTCTTCTTATCACATTATGGGAATTTATCAAAGGGACTAATTGCTTTAAACAAAATGTCTGTTCCGAAATACTTTTTTTGTCATGCGTGTATATTATTCATTTAATGTCAATCCCGAGATAGCTATGCGTTACAAATCAACCATATTTGCAGCTTAAAAATCCCCATATAATCATATTTTATATTGTTGAATAACAATTTTTGACAAGCATTTGAATATATTGGTTACATGTATTATAAAAGAACAAGCCTAAGTCTGTTGAAATAAATTTCTTTCTGAACTATACAACTTAATACGAACAAAGTCGATTGTATCAAATGACATTTGGGCATACACATAAATTTAATTTCAACGTAATAAATAAAAGTCTACTTTTATTAAGCCAACGTCAAAATGATAATTTTCACTATATTGAAACATTCTTATTACATTTTGCATGTACATACAGTTTTTATTGTTAAGCCCACTTGACGAGCAGCACAATAACCCATTTACATGACTACTTTACTTACACATTCAAGTATTTTTTGTCATCATTTTAAACTGCTCAACTACAAAGAATGTACAGGTAAAAATAATTAACGCTTTTAATGGATTAGCAAAATAACGCAATTACATTGTTGCAGAAGTATAGCATAGTAGTGAAATGAAGTTGGTGTATTTTCTTTTAAAATAGTTAACATTTTTATCAAAACTCGGATGGAACAGTCAGAAAGAATTATTTTTTTCATTTGGACAGTTTAGACCATGAGTCAATTGGAGCTAGAGCACCATGGAAAACCTGTTAACGTTTAACTTCAACTAATCCACGAAATCTTTGTAAATCTCAATTGATTATATTGCTTAATGACTAAGGCTTAATTAGAATTCATCAATGTTGGTTCAGCTGACCTTTCCCATAGAAATAATGTCGTTATACTAGTGTACTGGCAGTACTACATTCGTCTATCGTAACTATATGACAAAACATTGAAACATTGTGAATAAGTTTTGCATTTACTATTTTGTTAGACACATTAGTGTTCATTAGATGACATTTCCTATACGAAATCGTCTACTTAAACCGTATATTTGATAAAGCTTAAAAAGCGTTTACGAATGCGTGGACGATAATCACATAATGATTATTAATCTTAAATGAATTTTGATGGCTTCATCACTTGACCTTTACCATGGAAATAAGGAATTGAAACAAAGGAATTTAAATCAAATTTTGGGTGGCCCTGAAAAGGGCCTTTACTCGTTCTCTTAGCAGTTCCGAATTTCATGAACAAAGGCGTTGCTATGATTCCGTTATATCGCCGCATATGGGATAGAGAATTCCATAGGCAAGTGGTGATGGGTCGTAAGCACAAAATAAATGAAACATTGCTTCGCATGGACAAAAAATTCAGGCACTTCCATCAGCAGTTTCATGTGGTGGTTGCGCAACATTGCAAATATCACAAAGTCTATTGTCATACGCATTTTCGTCGTCTCGTCCAGTGAACTCCTCTGAGTTAATCGAAACAATTTCTTCCTCGTCATTGCTTAACGTTGCATCCATATCGACGTTATTCTGATAGTTGGTAACTCACAAAAGATGAAGGAAGGACAGTGAGTGTTCACGGAAGTCCTTTATGAAAAATTATAATAACACTAATCAAATTACCTCATTCGTCTACTCGTCTGTGAGGAACCGCTAGGTGTTCTAAGACCATTTCTCCAACACACAAATTTAATATACGGCTTCCGATCTCTATGGAAATGAGAATCTTTCACCACATGATGGCAGTACGTAGCTCTTTCATAAGTTCTAACGGCGCTCTTCAAGTGATTGAGACGCTACGAGACACAATTTGCTCAAGAATAGGTT